GTCTGACGCGTCTGCCTCCGCGACCCGAAAGGAGAAGCGGCGATGGAAGATGAAGATGAAGATGAAATTAAAAGGGCTGAAAATATCGTAATGAAATTTCTTCACCGTCAAAAATAAATGCGTGTAGAGGCATTGATTATTTTATTTTTGGACTTCGACAGCCATTCAATACCATCTTAGAAAAATAAAAACGATGTATTTTGACTAACCTGAAACGTTTGCAGTATACAGAAAGAAAAATGGGGGAAGAAAGACTTTCGAAAAGTGTGGAAAAGCACAACGTTGCGGAATCTCGAAGCCGTGTGGTTCCCATTTTCTTTGTGCTCGTTGCATTGAATTATAAGATATTATTGCTGAACCACCCTTTTCCTACGTATCTTGCGTTTTCTTCCTGCTCTTCTTATTCCCTTTTTTCACTCTGTGCATTTTTTGTGTCTGAGTTAAGAAAACATGTGCCATTGCACATCCTTGCATAAATACTTTTATGCACTTAGCCAAGTCTAGCTCCGCTGTCTTTGGTATACAAAGGTAGCGTCTATGTGACCCTGAGCACTTCCATTTCTTTGTTTAGAATAACAACAGACTCTGACTCAAATTTATGTTTATGCTGCTCGTCAGAGCAACTTATTCACAAAGACCTGGAGTTGGCTAGTCTTTGATGATTACTGTCATTTTGTCTGCCACTTCAAGTTTCATAATATGATATTTCATTTATCATATTTTCACGGTACCTGAAAAGAGGTGACTTCTCCTTAATTCACGCAATTCACACAACTTCACCATTCTCACTGAACGATAAATTTGGCTTGAAATTTTTTTCCATTATTTGACGTGCCTGTCCTCGCTATGGGCAACAGGTTCTGGTTATAAGCGTGATTGACGCTCCTCCAATATTTTCTATTTCCCTTTTTCAGTTTCCATCTCTGAACAAGGATTTATACCATTCGATCATCCTAACGTGTTCCTGAACGGTGAAGTGGAAGCCTGTGGCCCAACCGGACTTGGTTTGCAATTTTTAGCGTCCAACGGCTGTGTCTCAGGAGAGGCGCATAGTCGACCCCTTCTTTCTTGCAAGTCAGATGTCACGACGATAATAAAGTTCGCTGTCGAATTTGTGCACTGGGACATATTCCTGGAAGGACACTTTGAACATTTTTCCCGTCATCGTTCTTTGCATGACCATCGGTTTGTTCTCTTCTGTTTTCATAGCCAGCCAGCATTCGGCATCGTGGATTATGGCCGGTAGGACGGCTCAGTCGAACAGTTCTTTCTTCGAGCGTTTTGGCAGCCGACTGTCCAGCAAAGATGTTTGATTTTCCTATCAAAACTC